ATATTAATGAGTTAGAAACTATAGCTCGAATTGTGATAAATGAAAAAATGTCAACCCTTAACCCGTAACCCGCAAAGTTCGGGTTAGGGTTGGTCTTCATCAACTCGTGACCTGTTAGTGACTCAACCCGTATAACCCGCAGCCCATGTTGACCCAACCTGCCCGTTTGCCAGGTCTACGCACATGTGAAGCATGATTTTGTGAGAAGAAGTCTTCCACCTAGTAAAGTCTTACATATGATCATATTTATGTTGATTGATGTCTTATCTCAATGATGCATATGATTAATGAATAATTTAAGATTGTTCTATCATATCATATGATTCTCTCTATTAGCAATGGCTATTATTAACTTTTAATGTAGTAAACATTCTAAGAACTTTATCGATATTTAACATATGCAAAAGAATAATAGTTAATGATAATGGTCGACGTTTGATAAAGAATGTCATAAATATGATATAAAATATAATGCATATAATCACAAGTACATAAATTGTCTTGCCAACCCAGTTGGTAGGGCATACTCTAACAATTTCCCACTTGCACTAAAACCAACCACTAGCAACTCTAAAACCACTAGCTCTCACATGTAAATCATGCTTCTATTGAGATAAGTTTTTCATCAATGGTTCCATGTCATTATCCTTTGTGTAGCATTGCTAATCACAACACTACCTCTCTGCACAAAACTTGATAAAAGGTGGTATTTCTAAAGTATATGCTTGGTTCACTTAATGAGATTGTGGTTCCTTGACAATTGCTATATGGCTACATTACCTATAAACTTGTAAATCTAAGCTATTTCCTTAGCTGCCTCATAAGCTAAAATATACTTAAATTCTATTGTAGAATTTGTGACAACATTTTGCTTTGAGATATGGCAGTGCACTACGTCTCTATTAAGGTGAAACTCAAAACCACTTTACAATATTTAGACATTATGATCTATTTAGAAACGAGCATTTGTATAACCCCTCACTAGTAGCTCCTCTTGTCCTCCATATACAAGGTCTACTCATATGCTCTAAGTGTATGCAACTTTACAAAGCATAGCAAATACAATTTATCCTATTGCACATGGCATCTTGCATATCCTTACTCTTTCCTCTTGTGTTTGTTGACATATTTTCTTGGATAGATGTTTGCAATGTGACATTGGTATAAGTCCTTTCTCGGATTGTTTCCTGCTAAAGTGCTTAACTACCTTGTCAATGTACATTTAAAACCAAATTAGGAGATTTCTTTTGGGGAGTTCTTTGAGGGTTCTTTTGGAGCAATCATGGAGATTAAGAGAGAGCTTGCAACAAATGAATTAATAGTAAAAAAAAAAGATCAATCCTTGTGATTGCAACTCTTTAAATGGGTTTTTGTTTTTCCTAAATTATTTTCTATGTTGTTAATACTTTGATGTTCATAATTCGATACTTAATTTTTATGTTTTTAATTGTGAACTAATTTAGCCAACTAAGGATCTAACTAACTTAATATAGATTTTTATGGTTTTATGCCTTTGAGATTGTTATTTCATAATAAGTATATATTATTGTCCTTAAAACTTTTTAGTGCTTGATTACCAATAAAATTGATTTAGGGAGCATAATTGAGATCTATAGTAGATTTTATATAATAAATTTTAACGGTATACGCCATGAATTGAATGTAAGCCATAGATGACCCAATACAATTCATGCAGCATTAATAACAATTGGACTCAAAAGATCCTACATATATAAACTAAGGAGCTTCATAAAACCTAATGTACTTTTGTCTATTTAATTTTATATTGAGATATAGTGAGTTAATAAGTAAAGATAGGTATAATATAACTTAAAAATGCATATCCAATAGATTAAAAAATCTTACTATTGTTAAGTAGAAAACATCTTGAAAACAATTAGCTATGATGAAGTCATATGGCTTAATGTAGTATCTTGGTAGAACTCTCTTTTAATTGTTGTTTTTATTGAGTTTTTGTTAATTATATTTTCATCCTTATTTATTGTTTAAATAGAGCAATGATACAATAGATAATTTTTCGATGTAATTTTTTTTATATAAGATTATATAGAAAAAAATTATTTTTATTAATTATTTTTTTGTTCAAATAACTCCACAATTAATTATTTTGTTATGTTTAATTAATCAAAATCTTTGTAAAATTGACACTATACACTTTATTACTTAAATGATTAATGTATTTGATAGTAAATTTAAGGTATCACTATTTATAAAGCTCCATTCGAGTTTCTCTCCTCCTCTCGCTCGGAACCATAACTAGCACAAAAAGACGTGTCAGAAGTAGTGGGCTGCGTGCCTTAAATGCTCCTATACCTTACATGCCAAAATTATTTGACATTATATTAATCATCATTTAATACCTCAAACCGCCTCCATTGAATTGACCGACAACCATATCCACCATATACATGCAAACCTTCCCCTTTATTCCTTTAAAACACTTTGAAAATGAGAGAATACTATATATAAATACATATAACGGGCTTCATGACCTCCTTCGAAAATTTTGTTGTCTTAATCTAAAAACATCACGGTTTAATTATTTTTTAAAAATTGATATTTGTAAAAGTATTAAGAAAAATCATTTTAAAATTATGTCATTTTAATAATTAATTATAAAAAAATAAAATTAATCTCATATCTATTTTAAAAATAAGTTATTTCAGTCATTTTAAACGAATGGCAAAAAAAAAAAATCTTTTAAATAAAAGTTTGTTGTACTGATAATTTTTAACAATTTTTCACTTAAAAAATATATTTGTAATGTAATATGATACGTAAAACTGTAAATTTACAATATTATGTTGCATTGTAAGTATAACAAATATATAGAGAAAATTGTTTATCAACTGGGTCTATAAAAAAATTGAGTAAAAAAAATTCAAAACTGTATCGTTTCAATAAATTGTTATTAAAGAAAAATTGAAGAAAACTAAAACAATTTATTTTTAAATAAGAATTGAGTTTATTTTGGTGTTTTACTGTAGTTTTTTAATGAAACAACATTATTTTGAGATGTTTGTCCTCATTTTTTAGAGGTTCAGTTGAACACCAATTTTATATATGTATATATATATGAAATAGTGTTTATTTACATTATCTCTAAAAGGTTAAAAGGAAAATTATTTTTAAATTATATCGTTTTAATAAATTTTTATTAAAAATACTCAAATATCTTACTTTTAAAACATAAATTACACTATTTTTGACCTTTTCTCGTGTTGTTATGAAATTTTAAAATAATTTTTCTTGTAATTTTTGAGATGTAAGGCATATAAACACTAATATCATATATATATATGTTTATCAACTAAACCTATAAAAAAATTAGAGAAAAAATATCTTAACATTATATCATTTTAATAATCTTTAATTATATTATAAAAATTATTAAAATCAGTAATAAATACCTAATAAACCTTTAAAATTCCTCAATAAATCCCTTAAATATTTTTAGTAAATCCCTTGAAAATATTGATGAAACCTTAAATAAATATCTAATGGGCCTCACTTCAGAGCTTAAAACCCATCTTAAATTTAGGAGTCTAATATTTTAAATAATATATTATTACTTAGCTTTAATTCAACTTTTAAACTTTAATTTAAATTCTAATTAAATTTAGACTCAAACTTTAATACTTACATATTGGGATAGTGATCGGTGCACACTCGATTCAACATACTACGCAATACACTTATTAAAAATCATTATTTTTTAATCTAAAATTAAAGGTAGATAAATTTAAAAATATAATCATGCACACAGGATGTAGGAACCAACTGAATCAACGATATTTATATTATATTTTTAATAGTTAAACTAGAAGTATGTTAGAAAAGATGTTGAATTGAGTGTGTACTAATCATTTTCCTTATATATTTTATGTAGGACTTCTAGAAATTGCACTATTATCTTATTATTTTTTTACTATATTATAAAGATTATTAAATTTGTCAATAAATCTTAAATAAATATCTAATAAAATTTTAAATTCTCAATAAATTCTCAATAAATCTTCAATAAATACTAAAAAATTACCTACTAGGTATTTTAACATCTTTAATAAAAACCAAATAAATACCTAATAAGTTTTTTAAAATTTAAATTCAATTATATCTTACACTCTTTTTGGTCCCTCTACTATTGAAAAAAAAGCTTCTTTTTGGTCTTTGAAATCTGGCCATTTTTTGGTCCCTTCATTAAATTTTGATTGATGTAACATGTTAATTAATGAAAAAATATATTTTTTTCTTTTCTTAAATTATGTGGCAAAATCCATCTAATGACATGGCCAAATTTTTTTGTCTAATATAACCTTAAAAATCATTTAATTACATAATTACTATTATAAATATTTTAAAGGTTATTTTGTAATTAAAAGTAATTGACTATAATTACTTAATTGCCCCATCTTCTTCTCCATTGTGTCTATCCTCTCCTTCCTCTGGCTTTTTTTTTTTTTTTCACCTTTGTTGGGTTCGACACAAACCCAACGCTTGGCCTGGGCTCTTCAAGAACCTAGGTGCTAGGTTCTTTCTACATCTTTAGATCTGACTCCCTCTTCTTCTTCTTCATCATCTCTATGTATACAGAATCATGCCTTTCCATTGTATTTCATATTCCATTTTTATTTTCATTGTCTCTGAACATGAATGATGTTGATTTAACTTTTGCTTCTAAAGTTCATTTGATGATTAGATCCTTCATAGTAACGATTTCGAGTATTGTAGTTGGAGATTCAGATCTCTTTTGTTGTGCATTTCGCTTTCTATATTACTTTACTTTTTAGCTTGCATCTACTAATTCTGAGTATGAAGGATTTTGATTTAGTTTTTGAATTTTAGCCATTGATTTGATCATTCAAAGAATTAGATCTTAGCTTTTATGTTATTCATTTTTTGTGCGCGTTTATTGTGAGATTTTGCTTTTAATTGATGAAATCAGTGTCAGTCTTTGAATTTCGATTTAGTTTTTGAATTTCAATTTTTTCAACCTATTGATGCTAGAGAGAAGAAATGGATGGCTGGAGCTAGGCGTGACGAACCTAGCACAAAGGCTCCAAAGTATAAGATAGAAGGGGGAAGAAGTGTGAGATACTTTATTGGGGAGTCATTGCCAATTTATCAAGAAAAAGACTCAGTTGGATGAGAGGAGAGAAGAAGAGAGAAGACTCTATCTACTTTGGTTTAGATGGAGGAAAGAGAAGATGGGAGGTTGAAGATGAGGTTTAAGAGTAAATTTGTAATTTTAACTTTTATAATTAAAATATATACTTATTAAAATTACATATTATATTTAATATTAATACATGAGATGCCACATCATCATTTTTTTACGCCATGGATTTTCCACATCATTTATATAAAAAATAAATTACACAATTCCGTTAATTAACATGCCACATTAGCTAAAATTTAACGAAAGGGCTAAATTTCAAACTATAGGGATCAAAAAGAGGATTTTTTCAGTACAAAGACCATAAAGGAGCTTTTTTCAATAGTAGAGGGACTAAAAAGGGTATTTAACTTTTTATTGTTAAAATCATTAATAAATTTCAAATAAATACCCAATGAGTCTTTAAAATCTTCAATAAATCCCTCTAAAATACTTATAAAATCTCAAATAAATACTTAATAAACTACTCTTAAAAAAATATCGGCCTATAACAATTATAACTTTTTTGAATATTAAAAAAAAGGGAAAAAAACAAATGTAGCTTACTTTTGCATTATAATCATTATAATATAACAATATTAATTATCATCATTATAATATAATAATATTAATTAATTAGTATAACAATAACAATTGTACAGAGGTTAGTTTGGCATTACCACTATAATACAATTTTACTTCAACTACTTCAATTTTACTTCAGTTATATTTCACTTTGAACTCAATCATATTTTTAATAATAATCTTGCTAAATACATGCTTAACAATATATCATATCTTATTATATTATGAAAATTGTTAAAATTTTCAATAAATTTCAAATAAATATCTAATAAGATGTCACGCCCCAGAACCCAAATCCAGGGACGTGGCAGACGCCGTGCACTCGTGAGACGAGTCCCACAAGTGCACAAGGCTCAGAACTTATCCAAATCACAAAATCTCATGAATAAAATCAACCTTACAAAAGGATGATAAAATCTAAAACTTATACCCCAATTGAATGGCTAGCCTTCTAATTCGTCACTCCCCTCGGTTTTCCCGTCCTTGGTTTCGCTTCCTGAAATGGTGGACAAGGAAAACCATGAGATAAACTCAGTAAGTAAATATGGATAGCCCTTGGGTAAAACTTTGAAGCATACCAGATAAACCATGTAAGCGTAACAGACTTTTAATGATAAATCATTAATGCAGAAATCGGATTCAGTTCAATAACAAAACGTTTCATAACAAACCGTTACATGCAGAAGAAAACTCAGTTCAGTAGTCTCATCTATAAGTCATGGCCAGTGTTTACAAACTCCCACTGGCAGGCGTCAGTAATGGTACCAGTGTTTACAAACTCTCACTGGTAGGCGTCAGTAATAGTGCCAGTGTTTACAACTCCCACTGGCAGGCGACAGTAATAGTGCCAGTGTTTACAAACTCCCACTAGCAGGCGTCAGTAATAGTGCCAATGTTTAACCCCATCGGCAGGGTGAACCGGTTCCACAAAAATACATGTCGACATGTGCTAGCATTTACAGCTCCCACTAGCGGGCGTCAGTAATCATGACTATATCCGAGACAAATCCATGCAAGATTTACAGAAAAACCTGAATTTCACAATCAATCCCGAATTTCAGAACAAACCGGAAAAGTTCCATGCGGGCATGGATTTAACAGAAAACTCAACATTTACAAAATTCTCAGTTCATCAAAACAGTTCAGTCAATTCCCAAATAGGCATGTTCAACTCCAGAAAAACAATGAAATTCCCATTTTCATTTCTCAATCATGCTCATTTCCAGAAAATCAATAAAATCCTCATTTTCATTCCAATCATGCTCAATTCCAGAAAAACAGTGAATTTCCCATAAAACCCATCACAATTTGCATTCCAGTTTAATCACACTCAAATGCCGATAAAATCAATTTAAAGCTTGCCACCATCTCAAAAACAGTTTAAAACATGCTTTAAAATCAAAGGGCTTTACCATAATTTAC